GAAGATCTGCCATCCATATCCAATTTTATGGTTGGTATCAAAAAATGCGGGCACAATTGTGCTTAGTGTTATTAATAATTTGTTTATTAATTTTGCGATTAGTATAATTGACCCTATTGTCCAAATTTATTTCTTTTTCTTCTTCATTATATGATAATTATAAGACTCGCGTTTCACAAAGTAGTTAACAAAGAAAAAATGGTTACTTTTGTTGCCATAAATTGTGAACGCAATTTATATAAATCGTTGATAGCTTTTTATTTAGGATTAAGGACCTTCTGCAAGAGAATAAGGATGTATTAAGAATTCCTCGTTCCAGCACGAAGCGTACAGTTTTACGACCAAATGTATTTTACGTCTGCGCTTAGTAAGCATAATCATTCTCAAGACGCAACAATTTTTATATTTTACACGATGCAAGGTCTATTCTTTTAATAGTTTTGTTTCTAAAACAATGACTAATGAACAATCTTTTTATGTTTCTATTCAAATATTCGAATTTAATTAACCGAAAGAAAAAAAAAGAAAAAATACAAGAAAAATGTATTTTTTTTGTCATAATATTTATAATGTATTTATAAGGACTATATGTTCTTAATATACAATGTTTATTCTTTATAAATCTGTCCTTTGGTATTTTTATAGAATAAATTTACTACTTTATATTATAGATATAATTGGTATTGCATTGTTCCAAAAATGGATATTATTTAAATAGTAAAATAAAGGAACATCTTTCATCGTGTATAAAATGAAGCGTCATGTACACTTAAGTCTTAGAAAAACGTAAGCGTGAAATATCACCGTTCACCTCTGTACATTTCCTGTAAAATCGGTTACTTGTATAAGTAACTGTGTTATGTATTTTCTAATTGTACATACCAGAGAGAACGAAATTTGTATGTTATGCATGAATGTTCGAACATATAAATATGTACGAGAATTTTTCAAAATTCTAATTTTTTTTTTCATGAAGAGTGTTTGTATTTCCGATTTTATCGAAAACGATTCATAATTCATTACGAACAGAAAGAAAAATAAGACGAATATCTCAGCCAGTACGAATGTTTTTTTAGTTATACGCGTACATTGTACGTACTAACCATTTTTAATGGTGTATAAGGTGTGATAGTTGATATTGTTATTAGGTTTTTTCTACTTGTATATAAACTGTGACGTTATATGAGAAAATATTTAAAATCGATGACTGAATGAATGCAAAAGAAAGAGTATATGAATAGTATGAAAGGATGAAAAATAGTACGAGGGAGAGAAAGAGAGGCAAACACAGACACATAAATAAAACAAAAAAAATAAATAAATAAAAAATAAGAAAAATTGCAAAATTAACAATGCGCGGGGCAATACGGAAAATAAATATGTAAACATTTAATGTTTTTAACGATCTTGTACACACGGATACACATGTAAATATATGAATATATTATCGTAACGCGAGCATAAACATTTAATGTTTTTAACGATCTTGTACACACAGATACACGTAAATGTAAATACATCGAAAAATTACCGGAAGTAAACCTGTGATTCCTATCGTTTGTTTCCTCTTTCTCTAGATTCTTCCCTCCCCTTTTTTAATTTTCTTCAGCGAGAATAATCGGTTTTGAAGATTGTCATAGTATTGTTCTTTTTATAGTTATGTGTATACATAATGCGAACAATATGAAATAACTATAAAACAACGTAATTACGCGCAAATTATATAACGAACAAATGAATGTTAAAAAAGTTTTAAACTTGTTTGTAATATATGTACAATTTTTTACCGAAATAGTGACAAATTAAAGAAGAATGATAAAAAATTCTGTAAAGTTAAATCCTGCTACATCACATAATATCCGTAAATTGTACATTAAGCGCATTTGATTAAAATTGCACGATTGATAGTAAAACATTTATATTACTATTCTACATGTAATTACTAAATTAAACTCATATCAACTTATTAAAGCTAATAGTAAATTAGTATTAGTTAAGTATTAGTTAAAATGCAATGGCATTACAAATAGTATTAATGGAAACACCTATAATTCGATGAAATATGTTTCTTCTATTTGCCATTTATTAATTACATATTACTTTGTCCAATTTGGCATGTAACATATGTAACACAATTTTATTTTTCTGATATATATTGAAGAGCTGTAGAATTATACACAATGTGAATTTTCCTGACGAAAATGAATTTATTTCATTTTTCAGATTTTTTCGTTATCACACTCAGAAGGTAAAGAGAAATTGTCTTGACGCGAGACAATAAATAAAAATATAATACGTATTCAATTTTCATATATTATTACAGTTAGAGAGGAAAAATGGAATAGATCTTTATTTTTCCAAAAAAATTTCTTAAGATGCGTCATTTTTACTTGATACTTTTGCGCTATACATGTACATATACATCCATTTGAATTGTTACATTACATTCCTCATTCGCATGTCTCTTTCATATGTGGTTCGTGTATGTGCTCTGTATGTGTAGCATGATTACAAAATCATCATTCATCATTATATTGCAGGTAAGATAGAAATCACATAATTATTTACTATCCATTACGTATACATACGTGCACACGTACATGTTTTACAACGAAAACATTGTTATATGGAAAGAGTGTATAAAAAGCGCCAAACATTAACTTAATTTTATGAACATACAATTGAGAAATAACGAATCTTATAACTGGTTACTAGTTTTTTCAGTAATTTATAATATACACCTGTCCTGTATTTGGTCAAAAATTTTAATCAAAAAAATATCAAAATAAATCAATAAGCTTTACTTAGTTTTTTAAGCTATATTTACATATCTATCGCGTAATGGTCATAATCACATAAGATTTATCTGTACATTTTTTATTCATCTCTGTTATTTTTTTTTTTATCGTTAATCAAACATTTAGCAAAAGATTTTATATCAGCACATAGTTAAAGATTTAGTTAAATTGTTCACGAATAAAAAATGACATATTATTTGAATAAATATTTTTCATCAAGGTTATCTATAGATCAGATTTAGATTAGGTTTAAGAGTAATATTATTTATTATTATTTAACATTTTTTATAATTTCTTTTTAATATCATTACTTTTATAGAAACGATTTAAATGTTCCCATTATATTTGTTTTATTGTATGCTAATTTTTATAAGATTTACCAATCAGGACAGATGAAACCTGTTGCCCACTATAAATGTTTATCTCTAAAAATTTACCAATTTAGGAATTTGCCTACAAAATTGATATTTATTCTAACTTAAAGAAATAGTTCCGTTTTATTTGTGCATGTGATTGTACTTTACAATTACAAATGTATTTATAAACATATTGAGCATGACATAAAATTATATAGTGAACCAAATTTATTGATAAAAATAAAACAATTTTGCAAGGATTTATTTATTATTCATATGCACATAAGCACAATCACGCAAAAGTTTGATTGATACGATTAACAACGGAAATATTGTGCTTATTATTATTATTATTATTATTATACGGAAATAAGCATAAGAGAGGCTATATTCATAGTACGAAACTAATACAATTTTAATATCATAAAATGCAATTATTCTTTATAAAACTGTCTTTTCAAGTGATTTAAAATTATTTAAAATGAATATAATTGAACAAAATATATTTGAAATTAAATATTAAAAAATACTACAAATATTGTTAATTTTGTGCTAATATATTGAGCAGCATTGTACATGTTTCGATATTGCTATTTTATACATTAACACATTTTTCAAACGATAAATATATTTCAAACGTATACACTGAAAAGATTGTATATTTTGAAACGTAAGTAGCGTACAGTAAAATAATTCATAATATGATCGAATAATTTGTAGACACAAGAAACCATGAGATTATATTTCTACACACTTGTTAACCAATTCGTCACGTGCTGCGCAAT